ACGTCCATGTTGGCAGTGCCAACGTCTCGCGCACGACGCGCGCGGCGGCAGTTATCGGCCCGAGAAGGACTTACCGTATCCCCACCCTTCACTCCAGTAGCGTACACAGCTGCCAGCGTACCCTCCTGGCATAGTTATGGACCTTCTACGGCCTCCTCCGGGCGAGGCGACACCCGGAAAAGTCGCAGGAAATATTTCCGCGATTTTCCGAACATTCTCACGCCTCTCGGTCGCTAGCTCTGGAAAACTTGGATTACTATGGACGCTATGGACGCTCAACAGTAAGGCACGTACTATCTGCGGGAGGTTTACTTGCGAGAATATAGCCCTAGTGACTTCTGTCCACGAGAATCGGACATATAGCACCATAGATAGGTCTAGTCCCTAGTATTTAATATACTGCTCATTCATCGAGAAGTCGAACGTCTTAGCTCGGCAAGCCGTACTAGCGCGCGTATATAGTTATTGTGCACAGATGCTAGCAAAAAGTGAGCGCTTCGGTGGCATCTTCCTAGTGTTTCAACATGTTTTCAAGAATAAACTCATGAAGAAAAAGACTTCTGGTATTATATGTGTACAAGTTTCCCCCAGTCTCTACTCTACGCCACTACAGTTCCAACACATGAAGCCTTACTAGACCACAAAGATGTGCGGTGGGACGAGCACCGTAAGGGACAAGACCAACAGAGTCGACAGCAGCCGACAACCTGCGGTCAAGGCGTGGGAAATGTTCGGAAAATCGCGGAAATATTTCCTGCGACTTTTCCGGGTGTCGCCTCGCCCGGAGGAGGCCGTAGAAGGTCCATAACTATGCCAGGAGGGTACGCTGGCAGCTGTGTACGCTACTGGAGTGAAGGGTGGGGATACGGTAAGTCCTTCTCGGGCCGATAACTGCCGCCGCGCGCGTCGTGCGCGAGACGTTGGGCCTCGGACTAGCCGGCAACCGTATGCCGCAAGCTTCTCCCACCAGACTACCGCCGTCCCATCCTTCATCGCCAACGTATGATCCACAACCACCGTGCTCAGCTCTGGAAGCAGCCCCTTCCCTCCGCCCTCTGTGAGAAGTACAAATGCGTCTGACGTCCACGTGTTGAGGTATAGGGTAGTGATCTCCGAGAATTGACTCAATCCGGCGACCAGATTCTGGTACTCGTCTTCCCTCCAGCTGTCCAATGTGCTGAGCGCCGAGTGGTCTTCTCCGTCGCGCAGAACCAATGTGCGAATGACAGGCGCGACAGCACGAGCGAGGCTCTTCAAGAGCCGCGGCATGTTTGTCGATGCGATCTCACGGTCCATCTTGATCGTGACGCCGTGCCCCGTGGTCGAGGCAACTGAAGGCGCCTCCAGGTCCGAACAGACTGAGGTCGAGATCACGTCGTACATCTTTTGCCGGTCGTTTCGATGGAGTGTTCTAGTGTATACGCCGTTCGACTGTGAGATTGCAATGGCGAGCACGTCTCTTCTAGGTAGTACGAGTTGAGGAGATAACGCTGATACAAAGTCTTCATATGGGTCGTCCCCGTCCGCGGCTTTGAAGCCTAACGAGACCGAGGCAGTAGTCGGGATCTCAATCCTTCTCAAAAACGTCCTGGCGAACTCCCAAGGGTCATAGGGAGAGTGTGATGAGCACCGCATCTCGACTTTCATGTGGGACAAATGAGGCAGCCGAGCGACAGCATTGGGCTCAGGAAGAGAATGTACTGCTTTAAAGTTCCCGTGCGTTCGTGGATTGCGCGGGCGTACTGCAGCGTCTACGTGAAGGTCTTCGAGTGCGGGACAAAGAAGCAGGATAGCGAGTAGCGGTTGCCACGACGGGTGTGCTAGGAGCTCGCCTGTGTCGTATAGTCTGAGCGTCGTCAGACGTGGCGCGGAAGTGAAAGGGAAGTAGCGAAGATCCAACTCGCAATGGCGAAGGTAGGGCGCCTCGATCTCTTTGTTCTTCATGGGCTGCGTGAGGGCGGGTTGTCTCACTCGCAGGAATTGTAGGTGAGGCAGGTTTTGGGGGAAGTCGAAGACACCGCTCCAGGTGCGTAGATCGCTGATACCACTGTCATTGATTGTGTGCGCACGACGCAAAAGATCGGGGCGGCGGAACATTTTCCCTCTCAGCTTGATACCGCTGACCTTGTCGAAATCGAACGTGAGAGGTCCTTGTCTTGCGCGCCTCAGAATAGTCTCGTATGCAGTTGGGAGGTCGAGCAGTATCCCGGCCCAGAGGCGCGGAGAGTGAAGACCAACTTCACGCCATGAGCGTGTTACATGCGTAAGACTTATCCAACCCAAGGTCCCAGCTCTTCCGAGCTGAACATTCGCCGCCGCCGGGGGGTCGACCTCAGCAGCAGCGATGAAGATATGATAGATCAAGTCCGCGGGAAGCAGCACCATGCTATTATCCACTGTCGCAGCACGTAATGCAAAAAGAGGATGAGTATCAAGCGAGTAACAGGTCAGGCTGGCGGTAAGTTGGCGGTGGCATCCAAGAGAGTTCAGGGTAAGTTGAAGAAATTCGAGCGGGCGCGCGGGCGGGCGTCACGCTGATCCGCATTTCGGGTCCACCCGACGCTTATTCGCCTCTTTTCGAAGTCTCGAGAGCTCGGTGTGAATAGTTGAGTATAATACATAAGCAAGAATAACGAAAGCGATAACGATACAAAAAAGTCGCCGAAGACGTATTTAAGCCCTGAAAAATGGTACATTACATCCTTACACCTCTTGCTCATACACATCCTCAGCCGCCCACTCATCCTCCTTATCGCTCTCCCCGACCCCAGCCGTGCCACCTTCCGTGACATAGTCGTCTGCATCTCCGGCCTCCTCGTCCTCCTTGTCATCGTCGAACGTATACAGCTTATCCTCCGTTTTGCTCGTGCCATCCTCTGAGAATAGGCCCTTTAGCGCGTCGTAATTGATGCGCTTACTGTACTTGCTGCTCTTCTTCAGTAGGTTCTTGACGGACTCGGCTGCCGTATTGCCAGAAGGAGTGGACGCGTCGCGAGGCTTGTTGTTTGATTTGCGCCGCTTGCGAGTCTTCTTAGTCTCACCCGTCTCCTGCTGCTCCCCGCGCGCTGAAGATGGTGTCAGAGAGCGCAAAGAAAATATTGAGCTGAGCATACCAGCGATGGCTTCCAGATAATCGCGGTTCATCTCCACCCATACCCGCTCTTTCAGCTTGATCTCGTCCTCCGTGAGCAAGAACGCATCCAGCTCATCCTCGTCAAGCCCGAGCAACTCGTCGACGACCTCAATTTGGGCACGCCGTCGTTCGTCCGCCTCCTGCAGTGCTTCCACCAACTGTTCTCCCTGCGCGTTGTGCAAGAACGTCGTGACTTCGTCTGCAAGCATTGCAGACGCAGATGCCTCAGCGGGATGCTCCTCTGGTAGGTCGGCCAGTTTCTTGCGCAGCGCCGAATCGTCAGTCTTATCGAGATCTTCGACGAGCGTTGCGGACGTGGATGGGATGGAGGTCTGGGTAGGCGCGAGTGTAGAACCTGATGTATATGGTTGTGAGATGCCGAGCAGCGTGGGGTCGATGTTCTCGTCGTGGACCTGGGACTCCCCTTCTACCTCATCGGCAGCGTCGGGGAAGAAAAGAGGTTCGGGCTGCGATGTACCAGCGAAGATGCCTTGATTCAACAGCGCAGGATCAAAGTACGGGCGCGCGAGGTCTGGTACCGGCGCGGGCGTGCCATTGAATTCGGGGTTGGCTTCAGGCTCGGGGGTCTCTTCGGCTTCCTCGTCACTATCATCGATCCCAACACGACGCTTCTTCCTCTTCTTTCTGCGCCCCTCGCTTTTCCCCTTCCCCTTCTTCCGTTTGCGCTTCTTTCCCGTCGCGTCCTCATCCATATCCTCTTCGCCCTCCGCCTCTTCCATTTCCTTCTCCTTTCCCTTAGTGTATGCAGGTGGATCCATCTCCTCGTCCAACCACACCGTCCGAAAGTCCGTAAGAGTCAAAGCTCCGCTAGGCGTGTTCTTAAACTCTTCGAGACGCTTGCGTAGTGTGGTGTCGGCAATCTTGACAACTTGAACAACTTCCTCCACAGAACGTCGGAAGTTGTTCATGCGGGCGGCGAGTAGAAGACAGGCGCCGCAGATACCGGCGGGCCGGCGACCTTTGGTCATCCAGTCGCGGTCGAAGCGCTGAACGAGTCGAACAGCGTCAAGTGTGACTTTCTGAGTCTCTTCGCCGAACTCGAGGAGAGCTGCGAAGCGGGCAACATAGTGGGAAGGGTCGACGAGAGGTAGTTGTAGGTTCAGGGTCTGTACGAGCTGCAAGTATGTGTGACCCAACTCGAAGACATTCACCTGTGGTCACAGCGTCAGCCGCTGATGTACAGCAGTCCAAGAATAATTGATACATACCTGAAGCAGGTCGGAGAAATCAATCAACATGTAGTTCCGCGTCTCCTTCTGGCGGCAAGCGATATACAAGCACACCGCGACGACGTTCAAGCTCTTGCGACCCTTGGTGAACTTGTGCTCGACCGCCAGGGTATACAGTCGGGTTGCTGCCAGTGAAACGTTATCCGATAGGCGCAGGATATGTGCAATGCTAGTGATCTTCCGCTGGGCTTCATCACGTCAGCTGTGGCTCCCAAGTCCGTATTTGGCAAGACGCTCACCATTCGCGATGGTCTGTTCTCGAGACTCATTACTCCCCCGGTTACCGAAAGGTCCGCCCATACGTGCGTGAGCTGAATATAGATCAGAAACATGTTTTCGGTTTCAGCGCCGCGGGACGTACTGGCTCCTTGTCCGACATAAGCGCCTTGCACCATTGCGGCACCCGTTGATGTCTCGCCAAACGTGACCTCGTTCACGATAGCATTTTCTTCGACGACAGTTCCGCAGCCCATGCAGAAGCCGCTACCACTGGCGTGGTCATATTCTATGACCGTCTCGGCGCATGAAGGGCATGCAGGCTGGAAGAAGTTGAATATTCGCTCATAGTATGAAGCCAATGGGGCTCACCATATCGAGAATCTCAAAGTCCTAGTAGTCGTTCTACAGTATTTCGGAGATTTGAACGTGAAGCCAGTGTGCGCGGAGACATTCAAGAAAGATGGACGCAAGAGCAGAGTTACAGGACATTAAACCGGCGAGCAGGGCCGAAGTGCCGAGCCTTGCGCGCTTCTTTCTCGCGCCGACTCGAAGTTCGCAAATCGAAGCTGCTCTTTGACCTGACACGTTCCTTCACGATCTACAGAGGGAGTTTTCCTAGTATCCTGGTTTCTCCCTGTGCGACCTACGGTCTGTGGGTCCAGCCGGTTCCGACGGCGTGAATCGCCAGTCAAGGCACCCTCCCCGACGTGAACGCTGCTAGAAAGATCGCCAAATAAACCAAGCCCAACGGCCGTCGGAGCAGCCCGCCACCCGACCTGCTTCCCGCACCCACAGCGGCCTGCGGCTCACGACTTTGCGCCCATCGACAATATCTTTGAGAGGCTGTGCCACCGTTCCAGACATCCAGCGGAAAGCCGAAGGCTCCCCGATTGTCTGACTCGTGCGTTGGCCGTCATCGTACGCGCGCGTCTCTCGGTCGTCCGCCCGACTGTGCTTTGGCCCTGGCGCTTTCACCGCCTTGCATTCACTCTTTGTGCCCTTTGACATCTTGCCATGTTGCATCGCGATAACGCAACTGGAGATGGCCATCTACCCTCTGAATCGGTCACTACAGGCCGCACTTCCGCATAAGTTCTCCCGCCACTCGCACTTCAAGCGTATCGGAGCGGAGGGTGTTCAACTAGCTTGCCTTGCGTCGCACATACTTGTACTATGGATGGTTGTCTCCATGCAACATGCTCGATACTCTTTCCGAGCCTCACACAGAGATATGAGACCCGATATGCCTCGTTCATATTCCCGTTGATCTTGGCTGTTCCTTAAGGTGATGGGCGCGACACTTCCCATGCACATTCCGCCTCCCGATCCGCAGTACTATGCTGCATCGCCATAGCTCCCCGGACGCGCCTGGAACGCGTGTATAAGTACTGTCCTCAGTACGCCACCCAGTATTCCCATCCGCTCTTCCCCTCTCCTCCTTCCGCCTTTCTTTGGATTATATATTCCTACCTTTCCTTCTTGAGTCAGCAACATGAGCCAGTACAGTAAGCCCACATGCCACACACATTCTCAGCGCATACTGAACCGCCCGCTCAGATATCACGAACCTGCCTCCAGGTGTTACTATCGATGACATCTCACCCTACGGCTATGTTCCTACACGAGCCATTTCTTTCCTCTTTCTTGCACTCTTCGGTCTCAGCACAGGTACGCTTATAATCGGATCCGATCCGGCATGTTCCACTGAATCTGCCTCTAGCAACACATCTAGCACAAGCGATATACTTCAGATTATGGTTCCTACTCCCTACCGTGGTACTCTGCGGTCTCGGCGAGTTGACTGGCTGGAGCGGCCGACTATGGTCATCCTACAATATTCAAAATGACAATGCCTTCCTCATGCAGTATGTCTTAAAGTTGATGACTTCGCAGGATCTTTTACTCATCATCCTAACAGGATAACGACCACCATCATCTCGCCCACACCCTTGATCGCTGCCAACTTCATCATGCTTGGAAGGATCATCTATAGACTTGGGGAGGGCTACAGCCGACTGAACCAGCGGTGGTGTAAGCTGCTCTCTTTGACTGGTCGGCAAACCTATCTCATATATTCTTGCAGATACCCGCATTTTCTTGTCCTGCGACATCATTGCTCTCGTCATTCAAGGTGCTGGTGGTGGCATCGCCTCTAGTGCCAACGACAAGGCCGGCTCAGACCTCGTAAGTCTTCGATCGCCGCTTCTCGCGACCCAGACTGACCATGCTCATAGGGTGCCAACATTATGCTGGCCGGTATCATCTTCCAGCTTGTCTGCATAATCATCTATACGGCGCTCGCGGCGGAGTTCCTTTGGCACTACGTCAAGGACCGTCCTTTCCGCCGCGCGTTTGTATATGAGCATCGCTCTCAGACGCCTCGCCGCTTGAAGATCATGCTTCTCGGCATGTGCATCATGACCGTGCTCTTGTTCATCCGGTCGATCTACCGTACTGTGGAGCTTGCGGACGGTTGGGATGGTGTTATTATCAACACTGAGTGGCCTTTCGGTAAGCCAATTGTTGCAGACTCATGCACCTCGCAGTTGCTGACAGCAATACAGACATCTTTGACGGTGCCATGATCACCCTCGCTATGATCACGCTCAATGTCATTCACCCCGGTTTCTTCCTCGTACCAGAGGAGTACACTGAGGAAGATGCCCTTGCAGCCAGGGGAGGGAAGACAAGTGCCGCGTCCACACAGTCAATGCTCGAGTACCGCCCCAGCACTGCCACCACCGCTGTCTGATTTCGCCTCTGTCTCTTGTTGTTGTCATCGCTGCCTGCTACTTACATCTGTACTGTATCACTGGTGCTTATACTTCCGTGCTGGGTTCCCCTTGGACTTTCGGACTTCTATTCCTTACGATTCCCTACGATTCCGGCGCATGGACTCTCAGCCTGCCCTCCACTGTATCACTCATATATTTCCTTAGAGTTACAGTCAATCTCATACACTTTGCGGATCACACTTTCGAGCAAGAGCGAATCTCGTATAGCTTGTTGCGTGGAAATGGCCGCGACGTCAAGCGAAGAGGTCAAGACCTGGCAGCTCGGTCAAGCTCTTGACGACTTTACTCGGCTTCAAGTCGGTCAAAGCGTCCGCCCACTCTGCGCCGGTCCGGTTAACCCATATAGCGCTTAGTCCAACGTTCCGCGCGCCGGTGATGTCGAAGGGGTTGCTAGATTCGCCGCGTTGAGTCTGCGAATGAGGATCCGAGAGGCTTGGGCGATGACCTACCCGCTGACAAGGTAAACGCTCTCCGGGCTGCTTTCTTTGCCGACATACTTGAGCAGGCCCTTGTATACATCCGGGGTGGGCTTGTACTTCTGTACGCTCTCGACGAGAAAACCTCGCGGGATCAGTGAGGATATGCCGCCCGCGTCGAGAGCAGAGCCAATCATCTGCGATGCCCTAGGTTCAGCGAACGGAGTACTTTAGGCTGCGTGAACACAATCGCACCTTCGGTGTACCTACATTCTCTCCATAAGGTCATGGCAAAGGACAAGGCCAGGCAGCCGTACCGTTACTGAAGACCAGGACGTCGACATGACCACGCTTCTGCAGTTCTTTCAATGCGTCCACCGCGTCCGGGAAGCTGGATTACAACGGAGTTCGGTTAGTTGACACTCCAATCGGCGGTCCTTGGTCCATCAAACTCACGCCCCAAGCTCCCAGTACGCATTACAGACATTGTCGACCGTACTGTCAGAAACAGTGTATCCCGACTCCTTTGCAGCGTGCAAGAAGCTCTGGCGCGTGACGAAGTCGAAAGGTTTGTAGAGCCCTGAGACCGTTGCAGTTAGGCAGAGTCAGTATGTCGCTGTACAAAACCTACCCATAGAGTTCAATCGGAAGGTATAAGTGAGCTGCAACTGTCTCCATAGGCCGGCGAGTGCCTTCGCCTTGTCATCGCTGATGGAAAGTTCCTTGCCCAGAGCGGCAGATACTGACGACGTGTCGAGCAACGTGCCGTAGACATCAAACGCTAGAGTCTGCTTCGGTGGGATTGGAGGCATGATGACTGTCGATTGGCAGTGGGAGCGCTGCTACCCGTGGTGTTTTGAGGCAGGCAGCCTCGGGAAGACGGCGTCCCGATATGTGGCACATGATGTCACTGTGGTCTTGTTCTCACGGTCGTTACCAATACACTCTGGAGGCGGCCGCGTCCGTCTTGCGTGATCGCGACGCGAGAATGCGCATTGGGCACGTATGATATGAAACCGTAGAGTAGTTCTAGGGTGCATCGTTCGAGCGCTTATTCACAACTCAATCGTTTGCCACCACGACCACGCGCTTTGCGAAGTTCCTACCAGAGACTACGTCGCACATCGCTCGGCTGACTGTCTCGAGTCCCTGCGATACTTCTTCGCGAAACTTTATAGCGCCATCTTTGACGAGTTGCGGCATAGTCGCGTAGAACTCGTCCTCAAACGGAGGAAGCATGGCATGATGGAGAAGGCCCTGTAGAGTCATCGCCTTGCCGGTGATCATACCAAAGTTCTGCACAAGTCCGGGTAAGCCTATACGAGCAAAAGGGAAGAAAGGAGTGTCGCACCTCAAGAGTGTATGGCTCCTTGTTGTACAGCGAAGGCATCCCGTTCTCGATGAATCTTGCGAAGCGGTTGGCGCTCGCTATCGCTGCGTCAAGATGCTCGCCACCCACGTTGTCGAAATAGACGTCTATCCCCTTCTCGCGCGCAAGAACATCCCATACCCGTTCCTTCTTATAGTTGAAGGAGACATCAGCACCACACTCTGATGCGAATGCAACTTTGTGGTCGGAGCCGGAGGACGCGATTACGCGCAGACCATCACGTTTCGCAAGCTGCACAACAAGCGAACCGACAGCGCCTGCGGCGGTCGAGACGAAAGCGACCTCGCCAGGTTTAGCTTTACTGTAGCCCTTCCATCCCAGATATGCAGTCTGACCTAGCCGATAATGATGTCAGTCAAGCAAGCTTAGAGATGAAGTCGAGCAGCGGACGCGCCTGGCATGCCGAGGACTCCCACGTACAGGGTCCACGGAAGGCCTATATCCTCGATCTTGCGGAAGGGGATGACGGGAAGCAGTGGTCCGGTGTAGACTGAGTACTCTTCGTGGAACAGCCAGCCATGCACAACATCTCCAGGTGAGTAATTTGCATCCTCCGAGCGGATGACTTTGCCTAGCCCGTAGCCGTAGATGCTACGGCGACAATGTCAGTGAGAAGGAAATGTCACGTTGATCACAGAGACTTGCGGTTTATCGAGCGCATACTTGGGGATGTACGGTTTGAGTTTAGCGTCGAGGGATCTACCATGCATCATGTTCCGCATGAAGGTGTCTATACTCAAGCAGAGGGTCTTGACCAGGAACCCGCCGTTCAGCTCGACGTTATCGAGGTCAATGGTCCCGGAGTTGTCGCATTTGATATGCACGTCTGGTTCAAGATACTCTGCGTGGTATCGAGTTAAGTTAAAGCCGTAACGCGAGCAACAGATAGCATATACGCACCTCCGGGCATAGCGGCGTAGCATGCGCGGGCATTTCGAATCGGAGCCATGTCTCGCCGCGCGCCTTCGACGTACTGAGGAGGATGACGATGGGTCTCGATCATGCATGGAGGAACGCTATATATAGTGAGTCTGCGTGCTGTCTTATGTGTTCATGGATAGTGAACACCCGGAGATTCGAGATTGCAAAATGGGTGGGTGTAAGCACCCTTTCGTCAGAGATCATGACTAAGCTTCGAAGGAGACTGAGAGCAATGAAATCCAAGTCGCATGGTCATTAGAAAGTCAACAGTCCCACGATACGGTTGAAGATAACAAGCACCCGTACACGATATCGCTAGAGGTCATAGCTCAATCGTCTGCCACGATGACGACCCGCTTTCCGATGTTCCTGCCCAAACCCTGATCGTGCAGGGCTTGACCCACAGTCTCAAGTCCATGCGAGATGTCCTCACGATACTTGAAGACACCATCCTTGACAAGCTGTGGCATCACTGCGTAAAACTCGTCTTCGAACTGGGGATAAAGGGCGTGATGAAGGAGACCATGCATCGTGATGCCCTTGCCGATGATCAGACCGAGGTTCTGTGAAGCGCTTCAGTGAGATGTGTGGATCGGAGCGCAGTTCGAGCACCGCACCTGGACGTTATACGGCTCGCTATTGTAGAGAGACGCCATGCCGCACTCGATGAACTTTGCAAACTTGTTCGCGTTCGCAAGGGCACAGTCGAGATGCTCTCCTCCGACGTTATCAAAGTAGACATCTATCCCCTGCTCGCGTGCAAGGACATCCCATACGTTGTCGGTCTTGTAGTTGAAGGAGACATCCGCGCCACACTCCGATGCGAACGCCGCTTTGTCGTCGGATCCAGAAGAAGCGATGACGCGCAGACCATCTCGCTTCGCAAGCTGTACGACAAGAGAACCAACAGCACCCGCGGCGGTCGAGATGAAAACAGTATCGCCAGACTTGGCTTTGCTATAAACCTTCCAGCCCCAATATGCGGTCTGGCCTGTGCGCCGTCATCAAAAAGCTGAGCCAAATGCGGATGTCCAATAGGCGTACCCGGCATACCGAGCACACCTGTGTAAACGGACCAGGGTACAGAAATATTCTCGATCTTCCGAAAAGGGATGACAGCCGTCAGCGGACCGGTGTAGACCGAGTATTCCTCGTGATGCAGCCATCCGTACAAGACATCACCGGGTTTCACCGACGGATCCTCTGAACGAATGACCTTTCCAAGGCCATACCCAATTAACCTGCTCGGGAGGTGAACAATCGTCACAGACGCGTGGTCGATGGTGGTGAAGGAGCGTACGGTTGGCCAAGCTGATATGCGGATATGTAGGACTGTATCTTCGGGTCCAGCATTCTTTCGCTCATCCTAGCACGCATGGATGGATCTATACTCAGGCAGAGCGTCTTCAACAGGAACCCGCCATCGAGGGCTACGTTGTCGAGGTCGATGATCTTCGAGTCGTCGTACTTGACATGTACATCGGGTTCGATGTGTCCTGCGTATGGACAACGTTATTCAGTGCAAGCAGAGAACATCAATTGCAGGTCGTGCACACACCTGTAGGCTCCGCTGCATAATACACTCGAGCATTGCGAATCGGCGCCATGTCCTATGAATGCGCTCGGGTAAGTATGAGACGCCGAGAACGTACGAGCGAGGATCGCTGCCATCTATATCCTCTGCTTTCACGCCATCAGCATCTTCACATAAAGTTCCAAAGCGGACATTCCAGCGCGCTCTCGTCAACGATCAGCACAGGCAGCGGCAACGAAGGCGCTCAAGTCAATGCATCGACCACCTTGCCGTCGGAGTTGCGATCACGAGCAATCGCAATCGCCGAACATTGGACGCTTCCATCGGCGTTATCAGGGATATAGCGGGCGCATTCACCGCGCACCTCACAGGATGACATCAGCATAAGGACGAGCGTGAGATAGATGCGCAGAGTGCGTTCACAGAGAGCCAACAGAGCCGCATTACGTATTTTCACCGTTACACCGGAAAGGCATCCTCGCTAGGCATTTCAAGTTTGCCAGTAGGGCTGTTATACATGGGTCAGTACATTCGTATTCAACTGAACGGCGCCCTTCAGTCTTCCGCCACAACTACCACCCGCTTGCCGAAGTTTTTGCCCGAGCCAACATCGTTCAGGGCCTGGCCGACCGTCTGGAGTCCGTTGGTGACGTCCTCGCGATACTTGATAGTGCCATCCTTCACGAGCTGAGGGATAGTTGCGAAGAATTCGTCCTGGAACTGCGGGCGTAGGACGTTGTATAAGAGGCCTTGAAGGGTGATGACCTTGCCAATAGCCTGACCAAGGTTCTGCGCAGATAGGGCCAGGTGTGAGCAACTTGACAGATGGAAAGCAAGAAGCTGCGTACCTTAAGAACATACGGCTGTTGCCCATTATATTGGGATGCCATCCCGCACATGAGGACCCTCCCAAACCTATTCGCACTCGCTAGCGCCGCATCGAGGTGGTCACCTATAGCGAGCAACCATGAGCTTCCGCAACCATTGGGGATAGATGAATCGATAATGAAAC